CGACCTGGGATCTTCCGCTAGTGTGCCTGCAGAGAGACCGGTAGATGATTATATCTGCCAAGTGCATGTCTCATAATTCATTGCCGCCATCATTCGAAGAAGTCAGCTAACTATTTCCGCCGCTCCAACGGTGAACGAGAAACCGCTCAACCGCTGGAGGAAACGCGACAAGGAATAAGTGATCGACAAAGAACAAAGATCCAATTTCAAAGTTCCTAAGTCAAGCCTGGCTAGGGCCAGCCGTTCATGCCGTTCTAGAAAAGGGGCGTATGAGCCTTTTCGTTGCCATAGGTTTTTCGGACGCTATGCCGCGTACAGTCGTCAGGCAGCAAGCTCCCGCCGATCGGGATAGCTTTTCGTCGTTGGAGCAGACCCTGATTCATGAATCGCGTGCTTGCTAGGGTCCATGGACTGATTGCGAGGCTTTCCTCGGCCGAAATCGCACCGCACTGAGCAGTTGGGACCTTTTGCTAGAGATTACCTCAAAAAAGTCCACCCCCGGTGCTGATCACGAGTATCCGGTGCAACGGATATTCAGGAACCCGGGACGAATCGAGACAAGACAGAACAAGATCGACAAGAAGAAAGAATCATTATACACAAAATTCGATATATCAGAGACAACCCGGCGGGATTTAAAGTTCATTATGGTCGGTATCTGATTGCCGAGCTCCGCATTAAATAATTAAAGAATGCAAAAGGTCCATGATTTTACATTCTCTTACTGAGGCGCATAAACAAATGCCAACCTGTCAATCTCATCCCCGTCCCGTCCCAAGTATCCGACAATCTGCCATCCCGAAGGCGCCGTGTGCGTCGCGCAATCCGACGTCGTCGTACCAGCCGCGACCGTTCGGCCCGTGCTGGTAGTCGCCTGGATGTAAAAGTTGCGCGTCTCGTTGCTCTTCTTGCCCCAGCAGAGCTTAGCAGCGGTCCAGTACTCAGTCGCAGCAAGCGTCAGCGTCGCGGCCGTGCCACCGGTACCGCCGTGTGTGAAGACGGTGCCGTCGGCGAGCGTGACAGCGACGGAGTCGAGGCGGTCCGCGCCGCGGAAGGTCAGGACCGAGGCCTTGGGCTTGGACTTGCTGGCGAGCGCGGGCAGGTCGGAGAACCAGTCGCCGTGGGGACCGCCGGAGAAGTCGGATTGGCGTAGGGTGGAGGAGAGGGACCAGGTGAAGTTTGCGGTGATGGGGTTGTGGTCTGTGAGGATGCTGCCGTTGGACTGGAGGAACTTGCTGCTCTCGTAGTTGAAGTAGGTGGCCTCGAGGTTGACGACGGCGTTGCCACGGTAAAAGGCCTTGTCGACCGTCTCGCAGTAGTTTGTGGTGCTGGGGTTGGCGCAGAGGGTCTCGACGGTGGGCACGACGCCGGCGCGCTCGAGCTGGAGCCAGACGTCGCGCATGCCGTTCTGCGAGGCGAAGACGCCGATCTGGTCCGACGTGCGGGTGTAGCGGGAGTTTGTGTCGCCGAAGACGAGGACGGCGTTGCCGACGGACCAGGTGTCGATGTAGTCGGCGACCTGGTGGAGGTTGCTGTTACGGGCCGTGAGGTCGCCCGCCTCGGTGCCGGCGTCGGTGTGGAGGTTGTAGACGTCCACGTAGACGCCCTCGGCGACGCGGAGGCGCATGAAAGTGAAGCCCTTGGGCGTCAGGCAGTCTGATCCGGAGGCATTGGAGCAGGTTGACCACTTCACGCGCTCGAATTCGATCCAGTCATAGTTGGCGAGGGTGTTGAGGCCGGAGCCGAGGGGCACGCCGCCGGAGGTTGCGGTGCGGTAAGGGTGCGTGTCCGTCTCATAGATGTAGGCGTGGTAGTTGAAGTCCTGTTTTCGGTATGTTAGTTATAGTACTGTTTTGCTATTTTTTGCCATTTCTTGGAGGTTCATGGCTAATGATAGCAGTAGACTTCAAGCTTGAAACAGTGACAGATGGGAAATGCTGGGATCGCGAGTCGTGGATGTCCTTGCATTGACGCAGGGACGGAGCAACATGTGGCTCATGCGCTTTCCCCAGGACCCCAGCCCACGCGGTCAATAGCAAGAAATAGCTTTTCAGCTGTCGGGAATAGATTGCTGCTCTTGTGCAAAGACTCACCTCTTGAACGTTGATGATGTCGTAGTTGTACTTGGCGAAGTACGATCCGATGGTTCGCGAGTTGGTCGTCTTGTCGCCGGGCACCTCGTTGTTCTGCAGGATCTCGGGCAGGCCAGCGACGTTCATGGCGAGGATGGTGAGGTCGCCGCTCGTCTGGGCCAGAGCGCCGGAGGAAAGGGCGCCTCCGGCGAGGAGCATCTTGAGGCTGGTGGGCTTCATGATAGCGACTGGATCTTCTGCTCGTTTCGCAACGTGGGATGTTTGATCGGACGGAGGGAAGGGAAGAAAGATCGACGGGCGAGCGAGAGGGACAGAGCGGCGCTGGCTGGAGACGAAATCCCAACTACATGCGAGAGAAACGGCGAGCAGTAGTGATATTTAAAGGAACCTTTTTCCCATCAACTCAAACGTAATTAACTATGAACTCCCCTCTTGGCAACACGAGGCGAACCAGACATAAACACCCTGGTTAACCTTCACACGATGTGGCATGTGCTAAAGAACCAGGGCTACAAGCAAGATTACAACAGCTTTACAGTTGAATTTGGGGAAGGTGACAAGCAATAGGCACAACGTGATCTACATTTGACTCGTGATGGGTGGAACATCTTTACGGTGGTTGATGCTCATCTCCCTCGAACCCCTCACTGCCGCGGCACTGGTGCCCAAATCGGTCGTTCTACCCCGTCCTTATCGACGTATCGACATGACGATGTAACCTCTCCCACCGGTCAATGCTGCACATGTCCGGGCCGTTAGATGCGGAGCGGTCGTAAAAGTCGGACAAAGGGGCAGCAGCACCGGACGAAAAGATGGAATATGGTATCCGTATAATACCGACACGAAATATATACACACGTGCGGTGAAGTAGCATCGCTACACTCAATAATGATACTCCATTGGCATGACACGTTTTTATCAATTTATTGAAATTAGGCATGGCAGACATGCTGACCGTGCATATCATAGAGAGGAGGGGGAGTTATACTCTGAGGTAAACATATTGTCCACAAGTATAATTAGACGGTCAGCTGTTTAGATGACACTGATTACCTTGATGGAGCTACAAAACGCACTTGGATAGAATTAGATACCGACCGCTGTGCAGGGGCTGGCTTTTTCAAGGTTCACATAGTGGTTTTCCTCAATCCTGTGCTGCCCGGCAGGCTCGAAAGTTGCACGTGGATCCACGTGGAGGGTCTTGGCTATGAGATTCGTCGACGAGGGGTTCTCCTTGTCGAGAGTATTTCTTCAAACGACCTGGCCCCCCACGAGGGGCAGATATTCTCACGACGTTTTATCGTCCCTCGGCGAACCAGCCTGAATCCTGGGGTTCCTCAACAACACGTTTCTTTTTCTCTTCGGTAAATAACTTCCGTCGGCCGAGTCTGCCGAGAAGGAGTCGCGAGTATCCGCAAACTGTAGGAAAACAAGGGCAACTCGGCTCAAGCGTTCGGTGCCGAGTTAGGAATGGGTCGAACACGTTCAGTTGATCTCATTTTTTGAGATGGAATGGCGTGTCTATGCGGAGGCGCAGATTGCACCATCCGAGTTTTACCGGGCGAACCATCATCATGCCGTTCCTGCGGCGATGCAGCAGAAGAAGACGAAGTCATCTCGCTCTCGGTAGGCATCCGTTGGCAAGATTCGGAACGACCTTGCGACGGCTCGGCTTGCGAAAGAGAAAAAGCGACTTGGCGGAGGTGCGATGGTGGGAACCGGCCACTCGGTGCCTTTGGGTCATTTCTGGGTCAGACGAAGCAGAGGATGGCCCGTCCGTCGTCGGTCCTCCCCGCCGGCGACTTTGTTTCGGCGCTGCCATGGTATGGCCGGGTTTCGCAACGGCCGTTGGGCCCCCAACCCTCGAACCCGGTGTCGTTTTGCGAGGCAGCGCGCCGAGGTCCGAAGGAGAAGAAGACGTGCGGAGCCTTGAACTTTTTGCCCTTCGCAACCGGTAAGTTCCATGGACCCGAGCAGCTGGGTCGGCGCTGAGTTTCACTCTCACTCTCTACTTGGGTCCAGCTAGGCTGATGCGGTACCAAACTATGATTCTGAACCAATTTGTGGCTTTTCCACGTACCCATAGATCTGGGCCCGTTTGCTGCTGTGGCCGGCATCGTGGTAATGAAAGCCGCCGTTATCGAATGTTGCATAACCCCGAGCTTTCCAATTTTAGAATAGAATGCAGTTTAGAGTATTGTCCCACGGTGGTTGGGAACGTTGGAATTCCAGTTTGAGAGCGTGGTAAAAAAGCCACAGTGGGGAGATGAACCCATCGTTGCCATGCTAACTTTGGTCGCCAAAACCGAGAGCCTCGAGAGAGGCGTGAGAAAGAGCGCCCCGAGAAAAGCATGACGCCCTTTGTTCCCGGATGGGTGTTTGGGGCTAAGAAAGTTTGGTGCCACACGGCGTGGCGCCACGGATGGGTTCCTGACATGATTTCTTGGCTGCTAGCTAGCCTCATTTCCATGGTTCATGACGAGTGAGCGTAATCGCGAGCGCGACCGCGTTGACGAGACTACGGCTGGTTGTCCACTAGTTGTTTTGACAAACTTTGGTAGAAGTGGTTTCGTCACGATACAAGACCATCGTCATAACTCAACGGAGCTGATTTCCAGTGGTCAACATCCTCTATATGCAACCGTTCAGACGTCACTCTATTCACGTAGCATCGCCTCCATGAGCAGAGGGAGGCAAACTTCTCCCTGTGAAGCCTGCAAGGAAAACCACTATTTCCAAGGCAGGAGACAGATAAGACAGCTGAATCTGAGCCTTGGTGCGGATAAGGGAGGGTGAGAGAGGGCAGGACTCTGACTCGGTGCTTGTTTGGGAATGTCTGCGCACGGCCCTAGCGGTGATCAGGGACCGCCAGGCGAGCTTTGGTCGGGAGGACTGAGCTCCGGGTCTCAGGATGGTCTTGAGCAACTCTTCATGCGGAGGGGTGATGTGATGCGATGGGGGGCAGTGGCAGGCAAGTTGGGAACAGACAAGACGCGGGTTCCGTGGGCCTTCCTGGCAATGGGGGTTTCCTGCGTTGTGAGATTTCGCATATTGGCCACAGTATGTGATTATGCTTTGCGATGGGTGCGGTTGTGGATGCGGAAACGGGAGGTCATAGTGACTGGTGTTATTGACACTTTTCGGGGTCGACGTGAGACTATCTTAGCCCTACAAGGCACCACAAGCCGACGGTCTCGTTCGATAGACGGATGGATCAGGTGGTATGTTCGGCAATCCTTTTGGAGGGCTCTCATGGATGGGCCGAATTTGAAATCTTTCTCTCGATTCCAGGGGCATTGATCTGAATGAGCATCACGGCCGTTGATCTTGGTGATCGATCATCACTAGGTCATTCACGATCGCTTGGGGTAAGTCCAAAGGCCTGTTTCGAGGTCCAGCAAGTTGCGGCAGAGGAATGAGACTTGAGGCCTTTCAGCTGGCATCGTGATGGTATTTGCCGAGAATTCCCAGTGCCGTCCGTTTACCAAACCAGTCGTAAGCCAGATTGGCGAGTCTCATGCATGCCTCTGCGATCATATGATGATATTTGCATGCAATATTCCTGACCAAACGGAGAGGGTCCAGACCGTAACATTTAGTTACCATCCGGCCATTTCTTCGGTGGGGCCCCGTCTTTGACAGCGGCATGCCAGCAAGGGAATCTTGCCCTTCTGTCGATGGACTACAAAGTCTCTCCTCGAATCGCCTAGAGTGGTACAGTGTCAAACGGTACCGTTCGAGGGTGTGGGGTCTGAGTTGGTGAAACGGGCCGGACGCTATTCGTACACTACACTCCATCTTCATCACCTTTTCAGGTGATATTAAGCATGATACGGTTACGGTCGGTCGGTTTGTTTTAGACGGGTTCTTTTTCACCCCTGTTCTGGACCCCGATGAGCGCTGAAATGGATGGGGGATAGAGGTAGGCCTGTCCATGTTGAGGTTGCTTGCGTGATATGCGTGAAATCAGCGAAAACTTCGGCACACTCGGACGGGTCATGATAACGGGTTCCTTGGAAAGCTTGGGTCGGCGATCTCTACTGTTTAGTCTGCGCTCAGTCTTACCCCTCTGCCCTGCCATGAAGACGGGCCAGAAGATCTGTCCGGTTACCGGTTGTCAATAAGCCCTGAAAGCTTTGATGTGGAGCCTTGCGCCCGTTTTAACGTATCCTTATAGAATTCGTCATCGCGATGCTTGGCGATTGTGGAATTGGAGCCGGGTCCAAGAGCAAGGGAATCGAGAATCCGGAATGAAGGACTATGAAAAAGCTGGGAACATGGGAACAGGTAGGGTGTTGCGTGGGCGCGATGGAGTTGCATATGCAGTGGTAGGGAGAGCGATGCAGATATCGAGGTGCTTGTGGGCAGGGGGTATCGCTGACAATTGTCTCGGGGCTCTCCCTGTAGGCAGCGATGAGGACAAGCTGTTGAGATCGCTCGACGAGATCAAAGCTCCTTCACACCAACGCCGGCTGGAGAAACTTGCGAGGACAGGACTATCCCCGCTGAATCCACGTTTTCTTCCTTCTTTTTGTCCGATGCGTGGGCTTCTGGGAAGACGTTCATGCGAAACTGGGCACATCACATCTCAGGCTGGGATGACCACAGTGCGTTTCTGCTATCTTGCCTCTAGTCCAGAGCGAAGTAGAACAGGATGCGTGGTTACACTCCGGAACACGCCGGTAGTAAACGGCGATTGCTGCGGTACCTATTGTTTCGCGAGCGTCTAGAAAACGTGGAGAAAAGGAAAGTGATGGATCCAAAAGGTGAGCTAAATTACATGATATCAACCGGACCAAGAAGAGACAATGGGTCTGTGTGCATCTGAACTCTCGGGAAAAGTCAAGCAAAAAGTTGAGTTGACTTTTTGAATTTCCCCTCTTCGAGAACATTGCTGATTTGAGATGCCACAAAGCGGACGCTCCGAAAGTCAGCCTTCCGCCCACCGGAGGCTCTTGGTTGTACTCGGAATGGACTCGGTGTGCCGGAACGGATGTGGCGCTGGGGCCCGGAGCAGGCTCCGGCTTCTCCCACTCGCCGGCTGCACCGCCGCCCATCTTCCCGATCTTCCAAGACAAAAATGACAACGCCACAACCCAGTCGATATACGTAATCGAGATGAAATACAAACAAACGCATTGAAAGCGTGACGTGAAGGTCATGTTCATGTTCATCATATCTGATGGAGCGTCATTTCTTCTTCCTTGCGTTTGGGCCGCCCCTGGTTGCCAGCGTCCGATATCACATTCATCCCACCAGACGCGTTTCACGAACCCACGCAGCACACAGTAGACATCTTTGCTCTTCTCCTCCGCCTCTGACAGACTTGCTCCATCTGCACCGTGTCCGTGCGCTCAAGGATCACAAGTTCAACTTGACTTGTAGCATTTCCCGACGACGAAGACGACCCTCGGCTTGCACCCTGCTTGCCCCTCTCTTCTGACCTACCCGGACTCAAGATATGATTGCGGACTGAGGATCACAGCGTCATTCCATCACATCGCAGACGGGCCTTTCAATAATCGTTAGTCTCATATTGACCAGGTGTCAAACCGTAAGCGAAGGGCACCTTGGAGTAAGAAAAGCAACGAGCTTCCCCTCTTTCCCGCCTAGTTCCCTTGCGTTCGCTTGACCATGCGGGGCGGCGGCCAGCACCTGGCATCATCACAAGCAGCTGAAGTGGACGCGCGGGGGTTCCATTTCTGCAAACCCATCCAAGCTCCAGCTGTCAATGCGGCCGATGAGGGCGCGGCGCGCGGTTTTGGTCCATCAAGAAGCAGAAGCGGTGGAGGGATGGATAGCCTGCCGTTTTTCTTGCATCCTTCCCGCACTGACCCTCACTCCAAAATAGGCCAGGACTCAGAATAACACCCTTGTCCCTGATGGAGCCCTGTCTAGGCCCTGGTCAATAATCTCGTCGTATTAAGAGCTGGCATCGTGGCTGTCAGGGTTCGTGATGCGTACCTTCAGACAGCGGCTGGGGGTGTAAATAGATGGAACTTCAAGGAACCTGGGAGGTGGATGAACAAGAGATAGTCTGGAACGAGGGAATTCGATTAAAAGAAGGTGAGAAACGTGCTTCGGCGTCGAGACCGGATTGACGCGGTTAGAGAGTATTGATTGCTGCAGGCCAGGACACACGAACCCCCCACTGTGACGCCCACCGGGCCACCGTTGAAAATTGAGATCATCCAGGAACATTCCCTCAAACTGTTGATTACATGGGTGGAATTTTGCTTGTATTGACCGATACGTCCTAGTCGGCATATCAGGGTCTTATCAGCTACCTCCGCACACGATCACGAATTGCCGTAACATCATCACTCGTGATTGTGCGATGCTGGACTGCTCTAGAATGAAGTAATAATTGCTCTCATGCCATAGTGAGTGCTGTTGACATCCCGCATATGGACTTAATCTCTGCCCTTGAGTAGACGTACAGGTATGCGATGCAACGTTCGGCGAAGCGATCGGGACGTGGGCGACAATGGTATTGCTGCATAATGGCTTAGGAAGACTTATCACTGTAACAGAGGCAAGATAGTATTGCTGTAGCTTTACTTTTCGGCATCGCCCGGTCTAAGAGCCAAGCCTCTACATAAACCTAAAGGCGAATTTTCTCGCTATTTGCCGAACATCAGACGGAGGAAGAAAAAGGCCTGGCCTTTCTGACCGTCGCTTGTCTGCCGATGACACATTGGTAGGGAGACCACATGGCAACTTGATCATCCGAAGACGAAGGAGGCTCCTCTCCGTTGAGGAGAGAAATCTCCACCCCGCGCCGGGCTGCTGAAGCGAGGGGACTGCTCAGCAGGCTCGCGTTTCAGACCGCGCCGCTGACAATCAGTTCGGCGACTTGTCCACTCTGGGACTTCTCAAAAGGGTTTCTGTTTATGCGACTACAGAGTTTGTGAGACGGTGAATATGTTCAAGTGATTGTCCGTTGCCGTGTGCGACAGAAGCAAACTGATGGGCGTTTGGAACAGGTTGACGTTTTGTTACGGTCGTCATACGCGTTTGGGAGGGTATATCACCGGTCTTCTAAACCTTATAAACGTATGATGAATCTCTTGAAATAGTATCGGTGATTGGGATCATGCATGACACCATGATGTAATAGCGACTTACAGACAGTATTAACAGTGGAAAGTCCTCGGTAGTTAGGATGGCGGCGACCAATGTTCGGAGAGTTTCGGGGTGACAGCTGGTTTCAAGGACTGAGAACGATAGCACAGCAGTTAAGTTACTAGCGATGCGACGCTGAAGACTGGAAGTCGCATAGCATCAGGCAAACTCTTAATGGATGTTTCGCCACGCTTGAAGGTAGCTTCTCCACAGGTTGAATGGCATCAATAGAGCTGTTAGATTCATATCATATGATCATTGCCATATTCGGCCCGTCGGCGATCTTGTTAAGGGCTGGGGCAATCGTAGTCGCCAAGTTATTTGAAGATGTTAATAAGCGCTTAGATGAAGCATGATTGTCAAAGTGCGGTCAGTTATTTCATTCTGCTACTAGACGCATGCCTGCCTTGAACGGGCTTTGTGGATTATTGGCTGAAATAGGGCACTTTGACTTGCCTTGGCTGTATGTTGACGACGAAGTGAGCGCTAGTATAATTGCCAGTTCATGGCTGTAATTCGCATGGCCTTGGTGTCAATCAAAGTTGGCGGTCATTAGCTTTAAGGTTTGTCAATACATCTCAATGATAGTGGTCTTTCCATGAATCGTGGAAATGAGGGTCTTTCTTTGCGCGCGAGTTAATTTCAAAGCTCTTGGCCAAGGCTTCGTAATTGTAATCCGAAACGGCGATTTACTTGTCATCAAAGTATCGTAAATAAATCGATAGATCGGGTTAGTTGTCAGAGACATATTGCAACTGTGGCGATGTATAGAATGTATCTGACCTCCAAATGTGACCATGATACAAAATGGACGACATCATGAAGTGGGTGGCTCAACCTCGCCAGTGTTTTCGTGCCACAGAATAGTAGACTGTCCATCAAGTATCAATGCCGCGAGCACCTTCAAGGTTTGGGTCGATCATGGCAACGTTTGTCGTTTCCCTAGATGTTAGGTTGTATTTAATGCATGCTCGATATTGCGGCATCACCTTCTTCTATAACAAGTCAACGACACCTCACACTAGTGTTTCTAAGTCGACTGTCCATGTTGCCCAAGCGATGTTGTATAGACTCTCGACGCACTACTGAGGTAGTATGATCGCAACCTATGGGAATAGGTTTCGAATGGTTTGCTTTGGCACCAAGGGAATGTCACATGTAGTTGGGTAACGACTTGACACTAATCGCCATGGAGCGATCCATGCCACTTATCAAAGTAGGTCTGCATAGATCAATTCACCTTTGTACTCTCTATCAAGCTTCATGTGAGACGTCACCACTATTTCCGTTGCTAACTTCTAAGCATGTTCTAGCCCTTCAGGATGCACAGTCAAACATAGAACAATGGTCACAGTCTACAATTCATGAACGAACCCGAGCAGACGAGGTGTTTGTCGCCTTAAATTTCAAGTATAAAGAGTAAAACCTTTTTTTTGCGCTCGTCTTGCTCGACCCCATGCTGGAGGTCTTGAGGTCTCTACACATTCAACCGAGACTAAGTCATTGGGGAACTTGAAGCGACGCTCAAGCACGATGAGAACACTATTTCAGGCTGAATTGATGTATCATCAGAAACAGTAAAGCTCTTGAAGAAGTATCTGGATGACGCGACTTTCCAGATCGCATGACATTTACCGGCCAAAATTCCTCTATCCTTCGCGCAATTGAACTCTGCAATAATCAGATCACTTCCGCTGTCAGCGCTTGTAACTAAAGTAAAACTCTTCAGTCATAGGAATATCCACTCACTCAAGTCAGGTATCTCGGAATAAGTCCCTAACAAAGCACCGAGGAACACCTCATCTGTTTGAATCAACTGTAGAATGAGTGCGATCATCAATGAGACCGAGGATGTAGCTGCTGCCACGAGAGCCAATACGAAGCGTCTGCCGTAGCCTGAACAGCGGCTGCTATGGGTGAATCAGTCTCATTGCTTAGGGGAACACTGAATAATTTTCCTCCCGTAGCAATCCTTGGCTAGCCGAGATGGAAACGAAGACCGTGATGGTGGCAGTAGCGGCGACGAGCTGAAGATACGCAGAGAATAGCGGATTGTGTATTCTGAAGGAAAACCTGGGTTCCTCGCAAGGCCGAGGGCCCACAACACCAGGAGGCCTTGAAGGTTTGTCAAGAGGAATGGAGATATTGTTGAAGTTTACTCATATACCTTACCTCATGTCACAGACTCGATGCTGGACATACGGCTTCTGGAAGAAGAACAGTCTAAACTACCTTAAGGCGTATTGGAGACCATCCCGCATGTCATCAGCCAGGAGACACCTATATGCATCAGATATGTCATATGGAGAAGCGGGCCTAGTAGCTCGCAGCGCGAGTACCTTGTGATCTGCATCGCATTCCATGAAGACCAAGAGGTCTCTTGAAACAGGGTCAAGCGAGCACGACACAGGCAACCTGGCAGTAGACAGAGTGGATGGTGCAACGACTCTTATGTAAGTTCCCGAATTTTCTTCGGATAGCCTCGTTGATCGAAAGAACAAGACCATTGACGACATGAATTTCGGCAATGTCCGCCCGCCCGCACCAGCACCGGTGGAAAGAGCCAAGACGTTCCCAACCACCTACCAGGCAGCACCTTGTTGTACATTCCGACATCGTCATTGTTGATGGCTTGCGAGAAAACTTTCTCCACTATTGTCAGATATTATATGCCTGATGTGTCTTCGCAGAATCGTCTTCGGCCAAAGTGCAACATGAAGAGCCCAGCACACGTGGCGCGTTGACATATGTTTGCAGGAGAGGTGGGATTTCTCTCTTATGTCCAAGCCACTCATATTGGCAAGTATGGCGTGGATCCCTGGTGAGCATGATTCTCACTCTATGGAACAATGTGGAAGTTATTGCCTTTCAGGCTGATGAGTACTTGTGTGCAAAGTGGGCCTCAACCACGACAAAATTTGATAATCAGCGTGTTTAGCCCAGTCGCTTACTCGAAGAAGCTGAAGTGCATGATGTAGTTGAACGACTGCCCTTTCATTTGATCCAAGGTTTGAGTTCACAGTTCATAAGTATTTGTCTATTTAGCGAGAAAACAATCAAAGAAGCGACATGAGATATACCTATGCAGCATCATCTCCAGAAAGTTTCCGAGGAACAACGCAGCTCAAGCCCAACGTCTTCCGTTGCGCCGTCGCCTTATTGTCCTTTTTTGCCATTTCATGATCCATCAGTTTTCCTGATCTTCTCAGAAAATCCTGGATACTTACTTAACTTAGGTAAGCTAGGTATCTGTTCTCTTTTGAGAAAGTCGAGATGAGTGGAGTAGTTACTTCTCGGACAGTAAGGTGGCTCCTGCCAGACCGTGAAACTCTGTCACAGGCTCATAATGCGAGGCAAACAATTGAAAGTTAAGATTAAGGCACGTTCCAAATAAGAGAAATAGACAAACTCAAGACTTTGTGTAGTGCATATTAAGGGAATGTGATGCATCTTTACAACCCTTGCCCTTCGCATAACAGCTCGCGCAAGCGTCATAATTCTCTTCACATTCACAGCAGTCTGAAAGTTCATAAGTCAGCAAAAGAATATTTCTTCACGATTTCCACGTTTTTCGGACAAGAAAAACTTACGATAGAAATTCCCTCGAGTAATCTTTTCCGAACAATGATCACAATAAACGGTAGAAGGCTGGAGAGTGAACATATGCCTTGCACATGTTTCTGGGTACTCCAGAAGAGACCAGTCATTGCCCGCCAGATGTAATTGTAAGGTGTGTTGGGTGGGATTCTTGCATCTCTCGCCCGTCTTGTAGCATGCATGACAGATATCAAAGTTGTCTCCATCGCAGTTGCAGCAATCTACACCACAACGTCAATTGTAGTCTGGAGACGGATAGGGCTGGCAACGACAGAAGTGACTTACGGTAGTATCGACCTTGGGTGACCAGCTCGTGGCAAGTACTGCATTGTGTTTCGGCACGCATTCCCTCAGACCATTGGCAGTCGCTGACCCAGTACCGATGAGATGAGCAGTCGACTGCGCAGACAAGAGCCGTGAGGACGTGATCTGTAGCCCCGCAGCTGGAACCGTCTTTGTAGCATCTTTCACACGAGTCATAGTTGCCGCAATGAAAACAATCTGCATATACTCATTAGTTGCGAGGACCTTCAGAGGTCGTGTGAGGAAACTTACGATAGCAGTTACCTTGGCGTATAGCCTCCCCACAATGGTCACACCCAAATAGTGTGTACTCTCCACCAGAAAGTTGGGAACGTGTGATGAACTCAACAGCTTCAGGTTCCCAATTTGAATATAATTTGACGATAGGTCTCTCCGGTGATAGGTCTTGGTTCGTGGCAAGTTGTAGCAGAGTCATGTCATGTGAAGCAGATAGGCATCTCGAGCCCTTTGAATAGCAGGCTTGGCAAAGGTCGAAATTATCGTCTGCGCACAGGCAGCAATCTAGCTCGGTACACGTCAGAAAATCAAGGACTGCGGTATGGGTATGTCATGTTGTACGTGTTTCAACTCGGAAGCTACGAGAAAGATACAAGAACATGGTGAAGGGGGGGGGAGGGCGGAAAACTTACGATGGTATTGCCTCTTCCCGATTTCCTCGCCACAACAGTCGCAGTTCATGGCACCGAATATACCCAAAAGACGAGGACAACATCGTCCCCTATTCTTTCCATACCCTGCAATGGCTTCCATGACCAAGGCCGACCCTGCCGTCGCCAAGAAAGAGGCCAATGCCTTTTCAGCCGTTTGTGCTAAGTCAACACCCATATTCCATGCACCAGCCACTTCCGGCGTTGCGACGATCATATCCGCTGTTGCTCCGGTCTCAAGGTCATGCAACTCAACCATTTGACCTTCAGGCAGAATAGTCTGGCCTATGGTGTCTCCCGTGACATTGACACCAACCTCCTGGAACTGCGCGGCCGCCCCTCGTACGGCATCGCCTACCGCACCGAATGGGTCCGAAGATAAAGCGTCGATGGCTGAAGCCTCCGTAGCCCCCGAACTCCCTAACGGCATGAACATGAGACTGTCCGTCAAGCCGTCGGTGACACCGAGCGTCACCATGCCGACCGCAAGGCCGATGGTCCCGGTGAGGGCGGATATAGCGACATCTCGCTTCCGGGTCTCGTACAGGGGAATATTGCGGCGTTCCAGCTCGGCTTGTACGATCTTGAGCTTCTGCCTGGCGATGTAGTATTTACGAGCTGTTAATGGTGCCATGATCATCGATGCGCCGCATGTTGGAAGAGCCATTCCCAGATATGTTCCTCCGCTGAAGGATGCCGTGAAACGTTGACGGGTCTTTACGACCTCTCTCTGCTGAAGCTCAGTGTCTGTGCTTGATTTGATCCGGGCAGTGTACTCGGATTTGTCAAAGTGGTGGAAGAGATCGTTCAGACCCATGATGCTTTAAAGTAGGGTCGCGATTCTGAGAAATGAAGTTCGGTCTTTCGCTTGTGATACAACCTCCAAAGCGAACGACAGGGCAGAATCGACTCCCTTGGCAGAATTGAGCATAAAAGGAGGTAGGAAGGAGGAATCTTGCTTTGTTGTAATCTTCAAATCGTAACGGGAGTAGCCAGTCTTCACTCTGGGAGTTGTCGGGGTATCTGGGTCTCATGTAGTCAGTCAACCCATACCATGTCAGCATGGAGAGATGGTAGGTTTACTGTCCTCGAAAAGACGATGTTGAGGAATTTTCTCAACGAACTCTTCCCAGCCCGCACTAAATAGCATCGAACCTATGCTTAACGCTTAGTAACTGTATGACTGCAAATTAGGGCTCGGTTCCTATCAAGGGATATCTTGATTTCAGATGGTGAAACAAGGCGTCTTCATCCACAAGCCAGAATCTTGGCATTTTGGCGAACTGCATGATTGGCATGCTATTTAGGAGTCATCTCTAAGCTCCCGTACTGTCTACCATGGTACGTGAACGTCTCTGTATCGATGTAGTGAGGCTTAGGGGGAGGGGGGGGGGGCAGTAGGCGTCTACTGAATGCGTTGAGGCTGAGGAGATGATCAATATGGTTCGCATATGACTGGTTCCTGCAGTCTCCTTCAGAATGCTATGTCTTGGCCTAAGATGAAGTGCAAAAGTCTCAATATCAACAGATCCATAGACGTTTGAGCAAATCTGATTGAAATAGGCAGAGGGGGACAGCAAGGCTCGGCAGATTCTAACTCAAGACATGGCTTGCGGCTGAGGTTCAGCTGACCGCCAGTCTGCTGAAAGTGAGACGTGAAGATGATTCCGGCGTCGTTCTACCTACAGTAGGCTTTGTGGCACCAAGGTTTTGAAAGACTTTTACAATTCCCGCTTCACGTAGAAGACAGCCACCATGTGGGTAACATCGTAATTCCAGTCAGACACTCGATACAGTGGTGTCTTCTTACAGCTTCTCGCTTAGAGCGGTAAGACTCACTTATCGGACACAATTTATCATTCAGCATTGGGGTCTAAGTACCTACTATTACCCGGGACAAGAGGCGTTCTAGCGTGTAAGCCATGTGATGAGACTAAGACAGGAAAGGCCATTTGCGAGATGAAGGCATTTACTCATTTCTGGCCTGGAAGAAGGTAGTGACAGGAGTTTTACAAAGCGCTCCAGACGTCAAGTTTCTGCACCACTTTCCACTCGCAGGGCATAGCGTGTCAACTTCAACTTTCGGATCCCATCGACCGGCTTCATAGCCGTCTGCCGTTAATCCAAGACTAGCAGGATCTATGCTCGTGGCTGAATCCATGTTGAATCAATGGGCGGCCAGCAGGTTTCAGTGACAGAAAATGTTAGCCGTCGATTCATCATACTTAAGACAGGTGTTAACGGATTCAGAACTTTCGATGTGGATAATTGTTCCGTGGATATCAGAGGATAGCGATCAGTGTATTTTCCCCAGGCGCTACGTGTTTCAGTACTCTGGCTCGGATTTAAGTTCTCCCACTTAATTGATTCTTACGGCATCGTGGGGCAATATCGACCTGTACGAGGAACAAGCCGCCTCATTCTTCATGTACTGTTCATTACCCACATCATGGAATAGTTGAAGCCGAGTTTCTTCATGCCCTCTCAATTGTCTCTCAAGATCAGTGAGATACCTAAACTAGATTTCCATATAGATCGATATATGTATAAAAAGTCCACCGTCATTTTCCAAGCTAATTGACCACAATGAAGCTTACGGATCGACTTTCGTTTACGCAATATCGAAAATGACATGTACCTATGTAACCTAGCGATAAAGCAGCATTGGCACAATGCCTGTGTTGACACCGTTAGATTTACTTGCCGGGCCGTCGGCGCTTACTTCGCCCGCGTTGTAGTAAGGTAGGCCCTAACATGACTTGCTTTCAGTCTTCCGTGAAAACAATCCTCCACCAATTCTACTATAGACGAGACGATGGATCCTTACTGTGGAAATTGCATGGCATTGTTGTCCTTATCGGGGGGAGGAGCCCGGCTCTTAATCTTTGGTAAGGCCGGCTGACGTGCTGTATCGCCTGCGTGACAACATGATTTCACTGAGACCGGTAATCTATTGCGGTACGATATGGCCGTTCTGACTCCAGCAAGATAATCTCGGACCGGAATTATTGACCCGACTGAGGCGGAGTCAGTCATAATCAATGTTACCCGAGCATCTCGAAAGGGTAGATGCACGACATGTCGGTGGTCGGTCCGGTCTTTGCAGTGTCCCTAGATGCGGGGTATTCGTGCTGCCAGCTGAGTAACCGAAATGTCTTAGATATCCGTTGAGTGATGCCCTCGTACCAATCTGTACATATCACGAGCCTGCCAGTAAAACCTCAACAATCTGTGCGGGGGATAATTTGTGTTTCTACAGTCGGTGATTTTCCAAGCTACAAGTACAACGCGTCATGTCCGCCATTACTAATAGCGACCGCTCTACGGAACTGAGTTTCAACGATCATTTTGTCCAAATTATCGACGGAAAAGCTTCTCCGACAGAGAAGAATCGTCATGGCATTAATCCGGCAAACCTGATTGCGAAAGCAGAGGTCCCTATCGCTACGCGCAAGGATCTTGATCTTGCCGTCGCTGCAGCAAAAGATGCCTTCAAAGCATGGTCGAAAGTTTCCTACGAAGACCGAAAGAGGGCAGTTTTGGCATATGCGGATGCTGTGGATAGCCACCGAACTCGGTTCAGAGACTTGCTGATCTCTGAACAAGGAAAGCCAGTATGAACCCCAAGCCGCATTCTTGTTTGTAGCATCAAATTGCCGAGCTACGCTTACACTTCCTAGATACCTCAAGCAGATGCTGAGACAGAGGCGGCGATCAGCTGGATCCGTGGCATGGCCGGAATCCAACTACCGGAGGATGTTGTAGAGGACACCGATCACCGGACCATTATCACTCGTTATGCTCCTCTGGGTGTAGTCGGCGCTATTGTTCCTTGGAACTTTCCCTTGCTTCTCGCGACGGGCAAAATCGCACCGGCCCTCCTGACTGGGAATGTGATCATTGTCAAACCATCGTAAGGATGTTGGCACAATGGGAACTTATGCTATGGATGCTAAGAAACTCGCAGACCATTCACCCCGTACTGTGGGCTGAAGTTAGTTGAACTAGCACAACAGTTCTTTCCGCCGGGTGTGGTTCAGTCTCTGAGCGGAGACGACGACCTTGGCCCTTGGTTGACAAGTCACCCCGGCATTGACAAGATCAGCTTCACTGGATCCACAGCCACAGGGAAATTGGTAATGCAGAGCGCAAGCAAGACATTGAAGAGAGTCACGCTGGAATTGTGAGTGTATCGGCATTGCTTATTACCTTATGGTAAAGACTGACGACAAAAGGGGAGGAAACGATCCTGCTATCGTGTTCCCGGATGTAGATGTTGACAAGGTCGCTGAGAAGGTGTGTATAATCCAGAGAGTTCGCAGCCTTGTACGACTGATTAAAGTACTTAATATAGGTGGCGTTTTTCGCATTTCTCAACTCCGGCCAGGTATGTGTTCTTAACCTATCATTCCTATATCCCAATACCTTGAGATAATGCTGTAGTTACCTTGAGATAATGATGTAGTTACACAGAACTATTCGCTTACACTTTACATCAGATCTGCCTGAATTTGAAACGTATTTACGTGCACGAGACCATCTTTGACCGCTTCAAGGAAGCCTTAGTGAAGCACGTCAAGGGGTACAACCTCGGTGATGGCTCACAACTTGGCGTCACTCATGGACCTCTGCAAAACTCGATGCAGTATGAACGAGTCAAGACATTCTTCTCGGACATCGAGTCTCAAGGATGGAAAGTTGCCGTAGGCGGCAACGTCGAGCAGTCTCAAGGCTACTTCATCACTCCTACGATCATCGATCGCCCTCCTGAGAAGTCGCGCCTGGTCGTCGAGGAGCCCTTTGGTAGGTTCCTCCAGCCCTTGCCAACCATAAGAGTCTTGGCTCTGATGCATTTTGAACAGGTCCCATTGTTCCTCTCCTTTCCTGGAGCAGCGAAGATGAGGTTGTTTCCCGCGCCAATGACACGTCGATGGGCCTTGGAGCATCCGTGTGGACAAACGATTTGGAGAAAGCTGCCAAGATTGCTAGGCAAATCCAAGCAGGCAATGTTTGGGTCAACACACACTTCGATCTCACACCTTTAGCTCCATTCGGAGGGCATAAGGAGAGTGGTATTGGAACTGAGTGGGGTGCAAATGGCCTAAAAGGGTTCTGTAATGTGCAAACCCTATTCCTCAACAAGCAGGTTGTTATTTGAGTAGTTTCAACATTGTCATTCATGCACTCCACCCTCACTTCAAAGACTGAAGTCTGTGATGGATCTCTGGTGGTTAGTCAATTGGTCACATATGTATTTCAATCTTGCTCTACACGATTAAAGCCAGCGGCGATCTTCAAGTATCTACCCCTCTTCACAATCATGTATACCGGTTAGACGTGAGTCCTTGACTGAGTGCGGCAAGAAGTCTGTTTGAATCATGAGCTCCCCGACATGCCTCTCCTCAATTGTAAGGATATTAGCCTGAAAGTAATATTGTTGAAAGGAGATAAGTGTTACGGCATTTTTGAACCCTTCAGTCCTTTCTTTCTGGTAACGACATGCAGCGTCAGTCATATGAGCGCTGGATATTGCAACTTGGATATTGTTCGATTAGCATGGGACGATCTACAATTATTAGGAGATAGACACATTATTTCACTTACCGGCAAGGTCCAATCAGCGCTACGAGACCGTCAAAAATATAATTTCTTCCCTTGCTCTGCGACACGGCGGCCGCCCCCAATGCACATCCCACAAAAACCCCTGTCACTGATCACTGAGAAATACCGCAAAGCACCAGGGCCCTCACCCAGCTTACGCTTTTTACTCGACGCGTCGCACTCTGGAACTAAAACAGAAAGTCCAAAGTGGCCGCTTTTCCGCTTCCCTAGCTTGAAAATGGGCCTGGCTACACCGCATACAGTCCAAATCCCGGTCTGAGTCCCATTCGGCCACCGACACGTCGCACGACATTACAGTTGCCTGGTTTTTGGGATGGGGTTGAAGAATGTCTGCGAGTGACTGGGTCTGGGGTGAATCAGCTATTAATATCGACAAGCTCCGCCAAGCCACGTGTGTGCAACTCCAACTCAACGACATCGCATTTGTATACACAAAAATGGCCGAATTCCTCATTGAAGACAAAGACTTGGTCGGGCTCAAGGGCAAGGTGGCCATCGTGACAGGAGGTTCATCAGGCATTGGCCTCGCTGCAGTCAACACGCTTCTTTCACAGGGTGCTTCGGTCATTAACGCAGATATTCAGCCGCCAGCGGAGCAACCCGAAAACTCTTACACGTTTGTGAAGGCCGATGTCACCGTCTGGGCTGAACAGATCGCACTCTTCAAGAAGGCAGAAGAGATCTATGGACGTATCGATCATGTCTTTGCGAACGCTGGCCTCGGTCCCAGCGCCAACTATCTGTCTACGGAAGTAGATGAGAATGGCGATTTGAAGGAACCCACTCACCAGCTTCTGGATGTCAGTCTCACAGGTGTAATGCACACGGCTACGATCGCGATATACTACATGCGGCAACAGGCCGAGGGTGGCAGCATTGTCATCAACGGTTCTACCACCGGTCTCCAACGGCTTCGTGCCGTGGACTACTGTAAGTTTGAGGCCTTTCCGTGGCTAGCCTTTCCAGCTAACAACACAACTCAGCCACGGCCAAGCATGCGGTCCTCGGTTTCGGACGTGGTCTGATCCCGCTCATCGCATCCGCCAATTTGCCCATCAGAGTCAACACCTTGGCGCCAACGTGGGCGGATAGCAGCGTACTGCCGGACTTGAAAGGCCTTATGGCCAAGATTGGAGTCGAAATCCAGACCGCAGAAGCGGTTGCCCGCGGCGCAGCGTATCTGATGGCCGATACATCCCGGAACGGGAATGTGATTCATGTGCAGCTTGGAAAGTACAAGGAGATTGACGAGGCCGTCCTGCTCCCGGCTTTTGAGTCTATTAAGGGTCCTGATTATCCTGGCGAGGACGAGGTTCTGCGCCGCCTGCAGGAACTCATGATGGCCGCGTGATTGTTTTGTTGTAAGCGTCAGTAAGGCCTGGGATTTGGGCACGGGCTGGAGTCAAATCTACGCAATTTTGAAAAAAAAAAAAACATCACAATCAGTCTGGAGTTTGACGGTAAACCAGAATTATCAGCGAACAGCCCAAACATCAAAGAAGGCTACGGCCCCTCGAACAATCGTAGTCAAGCTTATGAGACACGGAGACTCGTTTGATAAGATCTCGAAGTGACTCCTGAGCGGAATGGCAGCTGTATATTTCGGACTTAAGGTAGCCTATAACATTGAGAACCCCCCAGAAGCAGATATAGTCTGCCCAGTAACCCAATTCGCCTGTTCCTCCGCAAGCATAGCAACAACATACGCGACATCCTCCGGCTTGCCCATCCGATTCTCAAGAGGCGTCATGGCCACAATCATCTTGACGTGCTCCCCGTGAGCCTCCGACGCTCCTGAATCGCGCGACATATCCGTCTCCGTGACACCGGGTTCAACAGCGTTGACGGTATGTCCCGCCGGACCCAACTCCGCGGCCAGAGCACGCGTGAGACCCTCCAGTCCGGCTTTGGAGGCCAAGTAGAGACTCGCGGAGGCGTAGCCGCCCCGCGCTGCGACGGAGGTGATGTTGATGATGCGGCCTGGACGGCGGAGGTGCGGTATGACGGCTTGAGACATGAAAAAGGGCCCTTTGAGGTTGACGTCGATGCTCTCCTGGAAGTTTGCTGGTGTAACATCTGACACGGGGAGTTTGGACGTTATACCGGCGTTGTTCACGAGGATGTCGATGTGTTCTCCAAACGCTTTGACAGTGGCCTCGATGACCCGCACGGGAGAGTCGGGCGAGGACACGTCGGCTCGCACTGCGACGGCATCCGCCCCATTGCCCAAGGCTTTGACGCTGTTTACTACATCTTGCGCAACACTAACGCTGTTCTCTGAAACAAAAGTGATAACGACCTAGGGGTTCCTGTCAGAAGTCCAGGCTCATCAATGATCGGAAAACTCGACTAAGGTCTGAACTGACGTTTGCGCCTCTCTTGGCTAGTTCGACAGCAATGGCGGCACCAATTCCTCTGGAGCCGCCAGTCACGATAGCGACTTTGCCGTGTAGAGACTGAGCTTGCGTAGAGGCCATTTTTTTTTTTTTTTGCAGATCTTCACTGGATTGATGGAGTATCAGACCACGACGCTAGGACTGCAACAAACGTGGTGGGAACTGGGAAACGTTCTGAAGATAAAGCGGGGTCCAACCGATCCAAGACTTTTTTTAACTTTGAATTCTTTCCAATAGCAGTTAGGCATCTAGCAAGATCCGGAGGAAAATAACGGGTCTTGTAACACGGCTTTCGGGTGGGATGTCAAGAGTGAAGCTCCTCGATTCGCACGACTCGAACTCGCCTGTCAACAAACACTAGCTCTGTGCTCCCGGTCCCCGAGACTCCTAGATAGGTAGAATGCCTGCTCGCTCAGAGGTAAGGCAACCTATCACAAGGGACATTGCACTTCACTTAGGTACGATGGCAGTCAGAAGTGTCAGAAGTATGCTTTTATTTGTTCGAGTGCGCCATCTTCATGATAAGATGCGAAGTCCAATTCAGGCTGGCCTTTCTTACTTGCGATCTTGATGCAGCGGGTGCCCCAGTTCGCGGCCGACCCCTTTCCTCGCCAATGCTTGTGCTAAACCAACAACGCCATCAACTATGCCGAAAACAATCTATTCCTCCCTCATCGCTTGAGAATGATCAAAGAAACGAACTTGGTCCAGAGAATTTAGACGCAAGCGACAGTCTGCGTGCAGCTGTTGCCGCGCTGAAGGCCCTTGCAGGCCTCCTCGTTGGCTTTGGTAGCCTTGGCGTCAAAGGTGTCCGTTTTGCCCTTCTGGCAGACGTTGGTGTTGCCCGTGCAGAAGAGGTTGGTGCCCTGCTGGCAAACGGACAGGTAGTTTGCGGTCTCGTAGGTGGCCTGAGCGGAGGCGCCAGCGACCATGATGCTGGCGAGGACGGCGAAGGTAGGGAACTGCATTTTGGCTGTTGTTTGTGGTGGTGATTGTTTGAGATCGAAAGGGCGGCAAGTTGATATTTGGCAGTGAGTTATAGCGAGAGAGACAGTTGTGTGAGTGAGTGATGTTGAGATGAGGGAGAAATATCACGCCATTGAAGGGTTCACCCAATTACTTATATAGAATTTTCTCTCGTCGATTCACGGAGAGCAACTGCCGTCCAAGCCTTTGATAGAGCATCATAATCTCGCTGACTCGAGCCGATGTCTCGAGGCCATCCTAAGCGAAGCGATGCAACTCGAGAGCTTCCGAGTGGGATGGGTAGTCGGTGTCGCCGTGGAACCGTGGGCTTGGTGCGTAGTGCCGCCCAACCGAGAACCTTAAAAAGACCCGTGTGCTGAGACGAACACTTTCGGGCTTCTGTGGCGTGGCTTTGCTCTCATGCGTTCCATTTATATTAACAGTGACGTTTCAACTTGAACGCGTGGTGTCTCGCAGCCCTGATTAGTAGCCAAGTCTGTATAGCATTCCCTTGAGAAACAGTTGCCGGACAAAGCAATCGGACGGACAATGGCAACATAATTATATTGCAAAGCGGAGCGCTGTTGGACGTTGGCTCACTAGGCGCGCTTTGCCTGGGTAGCTCGTTGGTGGAAAGTGAAAGTAGCCAAGGCTTTCCCCAGATTCAATTGCGGATACTGGGCTCCGGAAATGTCATGCCGCTTTCAGGTGTTTGGGTTTATGGACCACGAGGCGCGCGCGTTGAGCAAGATTAGCAAGTCTTGCTAAGTCTTTGATAAGTCTCAAGGTTCGCGTATGACCTTAGTGATGTCTAGCGATCCTCAACCAGTGAGCTCAGTGTGTAGGCCTCCAGGCTCTCTTCACGTCAGCCCACAACGCGCCGAGTCAGTCGCAAAAAAATCGGAAGATTCAACGTGCATATTTTGAGTCGACTGCTAACAACACTTTGTTGCCAGTTGATTCGCCGGAAACGAGAATCGATTGTTATGATGAGGTGAGGTAGATGGCAGAAGACAGATCCCATCGTAGCCAGTGATTCTGTTGACCCAAGCGATGTTGCAAACGCACATTGCCGAGTTTAGTGGAAATGTTCGAAGTTGTTGAGTTCCAGTCCAGTGCACACAGTATTGCTGCCACAAAAACCCATCTCATGGACACAATGGCGTCTGAGCTG